TCGTGGTGGGCTCAAACCCACGACCTTCAGGCCCAAAGATCTACCAACTGAGCCACTGCTGATTAACGGAAATCACAATCTTGATAAACGTTAATTATTTCTTTAAAAAGAACACTCAATATTAAAACTATTCAAAGCATTTTAATTACTTTTCTGTATTATTAAACGCATAATAAAATAAGGGATGGTAATAATTCCAATGAATACCATAGAATTGATTAAATACTGTATTAACATTCTTCATTTATGCTTTCTACTTTCTATTTCCCTTTCTCTTTATCCTCCAGAGATAAAAGCTCATCATCAAAAGCAAAAATATCCTCAGCAACTCATTTCATCTGTGCAGGCTACAAAGATATTAAACAACAAAGAATTCAGGAATTTTTCAATTTTTTCCCGTGAGACCGAGAATATTTCAGATTAAAAAGATCTTGTATTCGTCCCACAGTGGAGAAATTTCAGTTACAGAAACAGTACAAATCAGAATCAGAACTAATTTTATTTCTGTTTAAGTAACAGGAAGTCACAAACTAGGAATTGTCTTTCGCTGAAGGTGCGACAAAGAGTAAAAATAGGTAAAGGCAAATTAAAAATCATTGAGTCACACTCACAAACCCACACTCCTTCAACCCTCACCTATGTACATGTTTTTAGTGGTAGGGCTAAACAGGAGCACCCGGAGGAAACCCACGCAGACTTGGGGGGGATCATGCAAACAGAAAGGTCCTGTGACCTTTCTGTTGGTAAAGGACAGAAAGTCCTTTGACTGTTGGTAAAATACTAACAGGGCACACCACATTTGCTTCTCTGTCCAAATTTAGTTTTAAGCGGACATTTGTCTTTTTACAAAATTGGCAGTTTTGGTGCATAATTTTCACTTCCTTTTTTGTTTAGTTTTTTTTTTTTTTACACACATTGAAACTTTCATAAGTGTAATGTAGTGTAATCAATGAATAATCATATAAATTTGACTATTTTTTTTACCAGAAGGGAAACTACTTGAATACAAAAGCTCAAAAGCTGTTAAAATGTCACAGTGAAATAACGACAAATATATATATTTTTTGTAATTGAATAATCGTTAACGGCTCTATACAGACTCTGACCCATGTAGGTCCTGTGAAATGGGATTATGAAACACAGAGAAGGAATTAAGTAAGAAATTAAGAAACTGGAATGTGTAAATGTCTTGTTTTTTTATTATTTAAAAAAAGAAACATATTTGGAAATCCTTAAGTGGCTTTGCTTTATCAAAATAATTGTTAGCTGATGCCCTGAAGAGAAATAGCAAAAATATAAAAAACAAATGATGATCAAATACAACAATATAATAGTGTCTATGACGTGAAAATCTAGAAACGTTTTTTTTAGAACAGACCTCCAGTTTCCTCCAGTAAGAGATTTTATTGTATGTTTGTGTATTTTATGTCTGTATTTTTGTTGTCTGTTTTGTGTGATATGGACTCTTTAAGTATCTGAATTAAAGATTACATAAATAAAGAAATATATCATTAATTCTTGCTTTCTCATTATGTTGGAGATTTCAGATTTGCTTCCTTGAGCTAGAGATGTTATACTTGTTTCTATATTACCGGTGTGCTAAGGTTAGGGACTTTATTGTATTTTATTTTATTATAGTTTAGAGTTATTGTTAATGTCCCTTGTGCTGTTTGCTCCTCATCCCTACCGTTCTGTAACTGGTGATGCAACACTGAAATGTTCCCACTGTGGGATGAATATAGGATCTCATATTCTTAATCTTATTCATCCATCCATTCCAACTGTCTGAGCAGTTGTAGCACAAGAGAAGTCAACCATTCACTAAAATATGTCATAAACAATTCTTCTTCTGGCACTCCGAACACACGCCTTCAGCAACCCCCAAGAGATATTCCTATGAAGAGACATCAATGTGACTTAGCCAATTTACCATCCCGACGCTGTATCGGCACTGCACTATATCAGACTGTCAAAAGCCAACGCCGAGTGGGAGGATGTTCACAGGCGGTTGTAGATTTCATGGATGAATTCAACATATTAACAATTCCCACAGCGATATTTTTATGCACACAACATTTCTCGCTCTATGCATCGTATATTGTGGCTAATGAATAATTTAAAATCCACTTACTCCATGCTAAAGGCTACATGGAATATCAAATTACATAGCAAACAAGGCCGCAAAATTATGATGAAAGCGTATTTGAGCACTTCTTTAGGTATACTTAATTAATAATTAATAATTTCTCCATTATTCAATTTGGAGGTGGTTTGGCCATGGTGTGCCTGAGGCTGCACAGTCAATGTTACAGACAGCAGTGATACAGTGTCACAAGGGCAGAAAGGACACCTACCATCAGCCAATCACAACATAATAGAAATACAGTGCGACATATCGAGTCTTGTGGCTCATAGAATAGACTTTAAAGCAGTTCTGTTTGTGTTCAAGTCGCTCCATGGCCTCACACCAAAGTACATCTGACTCTGAGACATGCCTTATCAATCAACTCAGACTTTGTTCTTCATTTTCTCCCTTAGATTTGACTTTTTTCAAATGAATACAGTGGTTTTCATTTTAAACCATACTAAAGCACTACTTTTGGCAGTGATTTGCTGTTCATACAATAACCCAGTTAATTCATGCAAAATCAATCATTTCATTTTAAAAGGTTATCTCCAAATACTGCCTTTGTTCCCTAATTAGCAGGGGAATTGTGAGTTTCTGCAGTGACTGCAGTGATTGCAGGATGAACAGTCACAGTGGCTGTCCATTTCTCCCCTTGAGAACAGACAAACATTGGATCTACCATAATAAAAGCTTTGCATTATATTATAACTATTGTCCATAAAGTCTGAGATAATTTGGGGATGTATGGAAGATGCACACTTCATTTATTTAGATGTGGTGGAAGAACAAAAAAGATTATTTGAGCTATTAAAAAAAAAGATCCTGGATCCAGACATCCAGAATTTATTTTTACCAGGATTGCTACAAGGGGTGGGCGAAAAGTGATTTTGAATATGCTTTGTCGCATTATCGTCAATCAAAAACTTTTTTTTACCAATACATATTACAATTGGAGCAGGCAAGATACCCATTCGTCAAATGCGTGCCTACAAGCCAATCACTGCTTTAATTGTACATTTCAGTAAATATTGAGCAAGCCTTTTTGGATGTGTTCGTCCCGTGTTACTTAAATTTGATATTGAATGTTAAAATGTTTGTGCATGTTTTGCAAAGATGTGTGAAGCACTTTACAAATAAAAAGCTGCTATTTTGATCTACCCTGTCTCAATCTAAAGATGCCCTGACAAGCAAAACATTGCAGATCATTTTGTGTAAAAAAATATTAATTCTGAAGATATCGTGACAATATCTTTATTGGGAGTTGGGAAAAAAATATTGAGATATTTATATTTGCCTATATTGGCGACCCTTAATTGATACTTCTACTTTTAACTGAAGAAAACGTTTTTTTCTATTTAAATATTTGGAAAAAGAAAAAATCTCTTGCTCACTAAGCTGAGTGCGTGGTGTTCTCTCGCAAAGTCAAATGTGCAATATTAATTACATTGTTTAACATACACAAAGGATAGAAAATGTCAATTACATGATTAATCAGAGACTAAAATCATCAAAACATAATTCAGCCTTACTGTTTCTATAATACAGTCTGAAATCTGATGACAAGTTGGACATTCATTTAATTAAATGAAAAACACATGACAACAATAAACCACTTGCTTTTATTGGTTGTAAAAGCAAGGGATGCCTCCTTAGTGGTTTATGGTGCATACTACAGTTCAGTTATAAAGGAATATAGTGGCAATACAGTTTCAGGTTATTGAAGACGACAAAAGGAGAGCACATGGGCAGGGTTAAAAAATTTAAAAGTGTGATGTAAATTTGACTGAGAACTAATATGAAGACTGCCTTTGTGTCAATTATCTGGACATCCCCAAAGGAATGTCCTTTGTGTAATACTGCACGCAAGTAAACATTGGGGAGGCGTGTCATTGCTATCAAATGACTAATTGTTCACAAAGCCTTGAATGTGAGCTTCACTATTGTACAAGCCCAAGTTTTCACCAGTCTACAAGTAGTAGAGAGAGAGAGCGCCCTTTGATAGTGAGGTCTTTGTGGCAGCTCCGGGCAATGCGTGCATGGATTGTTGAGGCTGGTCAAAGTGCTGGACTGTGACTAAGGAGAAAAAACTCTGTTACAGTGGCTCCATGGAGTTTCTTCTAGAACTCAAGGGACGGGACGGCTCTGGGACATCCGGCAAGTGCAGCTGAAACAGTGCCCCAACTCAGAATGCAAATGAGCCGGTCAGAGGTCTCACAGCCCCCCTCTCTCCTCCCAAACTCCCCCTCTCTCCTCCCAAACACCCCCTCTCTCCTCCCAAACTCCCCCTCTCTCCTCCCAAACTCCCCTTTCTCTTTAGGACACAGTGTAGAAGTAGCATGAAATCCATCCAGGGAGGGGCTATTGTACTCTGGGAAGAAACCGTCATACTGTGTAGTTGGGTTAGGCCAGTCTTAATAGCCTGAGGCAGGAGAAGGCTGTTTCTGAAAAGCAGCCAAGCATCAAGCCCCGGGTTCAGTCATCACTGACCCCCTGATAATTCACTCATCCTATGGCTCCTGTCTGCCCACAGATGCTAACACAACAGGCCCTGTGCTCTGTAGCTCTCTGGCTTTGCTGGCTCTCCGAGGCAGGCTCAGGTTTAATCGTCCGTGATGGTGTGAACCCTGCCAAGGCCAACAAGAGTAGATTTGCCCGCCTCATCCCTTCATCTCTCCTTCCCTTGGCTAAAAAGTTGCAGCGCTTGTAAACGGATAATAACCTGGGAGGACCCCCCAAACCGGTTTCACAAACATCCCTCTTTTATATCTCATGCTGTCAGTGCAACATGCTAACCGCTCTGACAGACGTGAGGCAGGTCCAGAACATACACGAGTGGAATATAGGTTACAGGAGCTAAGTAAGTGCGTCTCACCTCCCTGTCCTCGGGCTATTCACGCAGAAGCTTCAGGAACTGCCTTTAATCCTCCATGAACTCCTCGGTTTGGTCACTGCCCGGGCTGCTGCCTACTCATCTTCATAGTTTCCAGTGAGGGCTGCATCAGTGGCCGAGACTGAATTCTCGTGTGTGTTTACTTTCCCACAAGTTCTCTCTTGTGCTCAGTGCAAGCTCAGAGCTCACTAGCGGCCCGGGATCGTGAGGTGACGCCTGCTCCCTCTTCTTTCTCTGCGGCTGTGTTCCTCTGTCCTACTCGCCCCAGTGCCCCTCTCTTGTGGGGGTCCTTCCCTCAGACTTGGCCCGCTCTCGGCTCTTTTTTCCCCCTTCGCCTACAGTCTCCGGACCCTCTGTTGTCCGGACAGCGGCAAAACATGTCGGGATTCCCACAGCAGCGCACCAATGGTAGAGTGACCAGGACAGGTCTTCAGCCAATCAGAGGCCAGGTGAGCGGCATAAGGGCCAATCAGATAAGATGCTTAGGAAGAATGGGCGGGTTTAACAGTTTCAGGGACAACTTCCGCATCCAGAACCCGGGATGTGTTTTGGGAGCAGTTTTGAGACAGTCAATGGTTTTGAGTTTGAAATAATAAAAAAAATAATAATAATAATTTTCTAATAGTTATCTAACACACGACACCTAGAATTATGAAACTACTAGCCCACCCAGAAATGCGATACGTTGCTATGGTAACTACGGTAACTAACTGCTCACGTTTCAAAATAAAAGATAATTTCATATCAATCAAAGACACCACCTTTTTCCTAGTTATATCACTTGTCTTATGAATAAGTATAATGTCGTACCGTGGAACACTCATGCAACAGGGGCATTTACATATGGATCGAAGCAAAAATTCGATGCTCCACCACAGAATTATAGTGTAATGCCTTTTTCATGTTATGGTGTATGATCTGTAAACACAGAAGGCTCCATATGCTTTCATGTATCACTTTAATCCCACACTCGCTCAATAGTGTCACCTTGAGCCATTATGTAGCTAGGAACAGGTTTCTCATTTATTTTTTACACAAGCATGTAAACCTCTTTATTCAAATTAAGTCAGTATGTTTGTAACCACATGTTATGACTCGTCTGAGCAAGAAATAAAACAGGTTATATGGGAAGGTCATCAAGAAGATTTATTAAAACACATTGAGCAAATACACAGAATACAAAGAAAAGATGGATTTTTTCATTATAATTTGCTATACCAAATATCTTAACCAGAATACTTGGGTAGAATACTTGGGCAAATGTGAGAGAGAATTGTTATGAAATGCTTCACGTTCTGGACAAAGGTGCCTTTGCTTTACAGGGTCTTTTGGTGGCTTTAGAAGCCATAAGGTTTATCCTGTACATACATTAATAAGAAGTTACACATTAGACTGAAGTCTTTTCTCACAGAAACTACATTCATAATGACTTCAGTTTGATTGCATTTTCAGTAATTACTATCATCGTCATCACTCCCTTGGGGAAAAGGAGTAAGGACATGACGTGACAATGGTGGCACATTCCGTGCACAGCAGTTCCACGGCAACATCATCAAACATTAAACGTTTTCAGATCTTCAAGAGATTATGAAAAAGTCCTTCAAGTATTTACATGTTTATGAGGTTTTATCTGTTAAGAAACCTACATTACAACCTACATTTTCAAGTAGATGGCTCCTACAGAAACAGTATTGACTGATCATCATGTCTAAACACTAACAAAGAAAATATATGTCTCATTTTGTTTTTAGTTTGATGATACTTCTATATTGGAAATGACAAGAGCACCGCAAGACACACATTCAATGGCATTAAGTATCAGAGAATGCACTTACCACCAGAGAAACAGAACCATTTAAGAGTTATAAAACAATCTTCCTGCAAAATCAAACTAATGCTGATGCAACAAAGGAGAAGTGCTTTCTTAATCAAATACATATTTCTTTAAAAATAAAAGTTTCTTAAAAAGACTGATTGTTTAACTTTAACACCTGCCAACTTTAGGACAAGATCAAATGTACAGGTGTTTATTTGTTTTTTTAGATAAAGCAGCAATTGTATGTTAATGTCCTTGCTTTACAGTTCAAATTATAAATTTTGACCAAGCACAAACATATTGTTTAGTTATGTCATGAACATGACTCCTAAAACGTGTACATTCATGTGTACAGTGATGGATATGGCCTTAGTATAAGAAGAAGTCACACAGTTACAAACTGCATGTTTGGTCAACTGGCAGTCCCTGGGAGAGGCCTCCATTTACCTTCAGAAACATTCAGACTTTAAGGTAATACAATTATACTGCATCTTTTGCACCATTAGCAAATATTGAGTTATCTCTATTGTGCCCATGTACCGAGTTTGATTGAAGGGGCAAAAGAACAGAAAAAAAAGGAATATTCTAGTCCAAAACCTCAAAAGAGTGGTAGAGTTCTCCATGTAAAAAACATTATTTGGTCCAAAATAAAACTCTCATCTTGCTATGCTATAAGTTCACTTCATAAGGAAAGGCTCCACTTGGGCACAGACAGAGTGCACAGTGAGTGGCTCATAGACAAATGGATCAGCAGAATTAAGATATTGCAAAAAATAAATTACACATTGAGATGAACATACAATTCGGTCACTCCTAAAATCTGCTGCGTTGTTTAATCATCAGCTCACTGGCACAAGGTAGCAAAAGCTAATATTGATTGACATACTTACATTGGATCCTTAATGCTAAAAGTGCAATTGTTATAGATACATCTGCGTTGATCCAAAAGTAAATGATCTCTTTCTCATTAGCTTGATTATTTTCTAAGTTAAAGGGCCCATATCACGGTTTTTGACTTTTCTCTGCTTTAAACATGATTACAATGCTATTTGGCCTTCATACACAAGCCCACAGTAGTTTATTCATTGATTCTGTCAATCTTTTGTAAGAGAGCAATCTGTCTCCTTCCCCAGCGTGAGGCACAGAAACGCTCGGGTCCACTTCAGTGACGAAAACCACACTGATGACGCGCATGACGCGCATGACCCCGTTTGCTTTGTATTTAAAATAGTTGTTAAATACTTTTGTCAAAACGGGGTAAACAATACACAATTAGTATGCTGTTTTTTGTCAAAAATAATAAAAATAAAAATAAATTAAAAGCCGGCGGGAGGTGATTGACGGATCAAAACAGCGAATCAGAGCGCACAGGCTCCGGCTCCCGAGTCCAGCGTCTGTGGTCTGGTCTCGCGGACACCACATAGAGCTGCTGTTTTTATGCTTTTGTCAGCAACTAAAAGTGTTAGGATCACGTCAACTTGAATGAAGTGTGTTATGGGTGTAAATATGTGACACACTATTTGGCCCGAAGAGGAAGAAAGCGGCTCGACTTTTTTCATCTGTTCATCTCATGGATCTATTATAATACCACCATTAAAAATAACACTTCACTGAGACTGTTCCAGAACTACAGGTACAATGGAACTGGACTTACTCAAAGGCTGATGTGGAAACACGTTATTCCCACGGTAAAAGACGATACTCGGACCCCCTCGATCTGTAAGTAGTGACGCTAACTCGCTGTATACTTCTGTAAACTAAATAACTAGGGTCTGATTGTGCATCGAGGACATAGGGCTCGATGTGACGGATTGTCATTGTTGGAAAAAGTTTATTCTTATGTATGAAATTACTAAGTACAGGTGATAAACGACAAAAACGTGATGCTACGTCACCGTACGGGCGGGGGGAGGCGGGCTCACAGGCAGAGGAGCAGACTCTTCTCTGGATCAGCTCGTTTGAGTCGAGGTGACGTCACCTCTGCACAAGAGATGGCTCTAATCTCACAAGCTTTGATTGTTGTGTGGTGTATCATACACATTAATATCACACATGCGTATAGGATTGAGTGTGAAACATGAAGAAAAGCGTGATATAGGACCTTTAAGTAAGAGCATGAGAAAGAGCTCAAGGGAGTAAATCACCTCTGCAGATACGTCCCTGGATTTCTGACCACTGGTCAATGAAGAGAAACAAACACAGTCTAATCCTCAATGCAGATGACGTCACTGGGTTTGCCCAACTTCAGGTCTGGTGTGGCCACTTCTCGGAGAGACTCAAACGACTTTTTGTCCAGAAGACTTGGAGGGGGGCCGTTTGATGACACTGTAAGGATGAACGTAATTATTAATATTAAAGAAGACAAGTCATGCTTTTGTTTACAAATCATCTATTGATATTTTTGACAATTTAAACCCAACAATTTTATAGCTCTAAAATTGTATAGTAATACAATTCAAGAATCAACTTTTTGTCTTAGAAAATAGGAATTTTGTTTTTTCCCTCCAAGACAAAGTTTCTCTGTGACTCTTTGGTCTACAAGATTAGCGCTTTTTCTTGTTTCTGACTGAAACAAACATTCTTGTGATGTGCATAAACAAAAATACTTTTTGTTAAGAATACAATAGATTTTGGACAGATATTAACAACCACTTTCTCGTTTCACAGTTTCCACAGTAGGTACCGCAGAAGGAGAGGGTTCGCCAAAATGTGGGTATAATTTATATTGATTACCTTACGCCCTTTATGGTGTGTGAAAGAGTATTGTTATCATTGCTGGAACAAAATAAAATAACATGAACTATGAGACGGTTTACTTAACTGTATATTAGTTCTGCTTTGAGTACGTTCCTTGATTATAGCCTCGCTTACCACTGACATAAGGTCCCAGAGGCATCTGGCTGTAGTTGACCAGGGACTGACCACCAGGTCCTCGAAAGCCTCCAAAGCTGCTGCTGAACATCTGTGAGCAGCCGAAGCCGCCCTGACCAAAGGGCTGCGGAAACACACACATCACACATCGGTCAAACTGCCCACTGTGACAAAAGCTCAGGATTTGTGACTCTCTCTGAGGCTACAACAAACATCACCATAGAAACGCAGAACACACAGTAACAAGCCGACTAAGCCAACAGTCTCTCATTCTCTGAACAGGCACATAGACCACTCTGGTGAGAGACACAAGCTGCTTTTGGGATTATTTAGTATAATTTAGTCTAAATAATACACATTTACACAAAAGGGTGTATATTTTTGGTGTATATTCCATTTACGCCAGACAGGCGTAAATGAACGTGTGAGAGCGTACGCACCTGCGGCTGTTGATAAATGCCGCGGTGAAAACCAGCGTATTTATGAAAGTCACGCCTAGAAATATTCAGAAAACTCCCCGTTTATACGACAGGTCAGCGTGAAAGCCAGCCAGCAAGTCTAGTTTGAAGAATCAGAAGGCCTGTTAGTGACACGCACTGAGTTTATATTGAGTTTTATTGTATTAATTTGTCACACACAAAAAAAGAAGAAAACCCCACTATATTATATATACGCGTTTTTTCCCTATTGTCTAGACGCACTGCAGCACTCATCTCTTTGGAAATGAATGAATGAATGAATGAATATTAATATCTCAGAGGTGACTCTCATCTGGGTCAAGCGTCAGCGACATCTTCTTGTGAATGCGATAGAGCGATGAGAGAGAAAGGATGCGTATGAGTCTCACGGTGGGTGCCTGTTCCCTCTGCCATCGCTGTGTAACTAATGAAGAAATACGTTGCTTTGCCAGAGGTGAATGAGACAAAACAAATAGCCATGTGTAATTACGCAAGGTCTGCCACAGATTTACGGAGAAATAGATGTTCACACATTAAGTAAGCCAAGTGTATTTGTATATAGCGCCTTCACAGAGCAGGATCACAAAGCACTTCACATAAAAAAATTAAAATAAAAAAAACATACAGATGAAAAAATTACACACAAGTCAGATTTAAAAACGAAGAAACAGAAGAGGGTCCTCATCATGAATGTATCATGAACTGTGATGTATTCGAAATATGCTGTTTCCAGAGTGTTAGTTTTTCTGATGTGCAAATTCAAATTTAGAAACATGATGCTCAGTGAAAACGCAGTTTATAATTTTGCCAGAGTAGGAATATGTTTATTGTTGTCCAAATCTTGCATTTCATGCGTGTTTTGGCGTGTTGTAATGAAGGTTGAAATGAGCGTACACATTTACACCACCTCCTGACTTGGTGTAAATTCTGTGCGTACCGTACGCTCACATCCAGATTGATAAATGCCGAAAAGTGTAAATTTTTTGCATACGCCTCATTTACACTCTGATTTGGCCGTACGCAAGTTTCATACATGAGCCCCATTGAAATAATAGAAATTTAAAGAAGCTAGAAAAACTTTCAAGGAAAAAAGTATAAAGAAGCTAGTACTGCTTAAATACCACATGAGGACAAGGTCCGTGTACCCCGATAAGAGACACGTCACACCATCACGTGTCTCTTATCGGGGTACGCGGACCATCAACAGGGACGAGGGGGCCTTCACCTTGGCTCATACTTGGGACTCACTTCTCCAGAGACAACAGAGCGGTTGGAGGTGTGGTCAGTCTGATGATCTGTCAGACTGACCACATCCGATTACATTAGCTGATAAGAGACACGTCACAACATCACGGGTTCGGGTGATTATCATGTGATAACTAAGCAGAACTAGCTTCTAAATACTTTTGTCTAATTAAAAGAACCTTATCAATACATTAATTTAAAAAATAATGAGATAGTTTTTAGATCCATCCACACTAATACCTGGCACTGCCTAAAACCTGTAATGATATCCCATTGTACACTTTTCTACCTTTTATACCCAGCACAACACTTGTGCTTTTATACCCAGCACAAGTGTTGTGCTGGGTATAAATGGGTGGTTGAACTCTCAAAGTGAGCTATGACATTGTAGTAGTTGTACAAACCACATTTTTAAAAAACATGTTGTATGTTTGCCTTCTCTGAGTCCGGAAAAGAGTGAGTAAAAAGAGAGTTCGACTTTAGGGAATTCTTACACCTTCACAGGGGTTTGCAGAACACCAGCTTCTGAAAAGTAATTTGGAAGCGTCGTGACTACAAAACACTTCAAAGTCTGAAAGCTTTAGACTTCTCTAAATACACAGTCCCAATACTCTGTTTAATGAGCTTGTGTCTTTATTTCCTGCTTTTACAACAAGCAAAGTCTCTAAATAGCAGCCATTAGACAAAGAGCATGGCAAAAAAGCTGTATTTTTTTTACAAGTGTCTTTCTTTGAAATAATTAAGGCTGTAAAATAAAGAGTTGCCAGTTTTAAGAAACACAAAACAGGCCTGAGAGAAAAATGCTAATGCTAACAAAATCCAAGCCATATTTTAATACAATATTTCATCAAGTCTATTATGTAGTGGAATTATATGAGTATCACAAACATGTAATAAGATCAGTTCACCGGCTTTGCTTGCGTAGCTGTACAGCACAAAGCTATTAGGTAGAATGAAATGATGAAATTATAGACTCATTCAAAACCTTTTGGGAAGATAGAAATGAAAGAATCATAACATAATATTGCAGGCAGCCTTCCAATTTAAAACGAGTTATGATGTTTTATTGTCGAATGATGAAATTAAAATCTCGCAATACCTTTTTGCCGATGATGGACTACTGCAATGCACTATTTTCTTTTCTCGCCTGAAGGCTTTGTTAGATAGGACAGCAGAGGTGAACCAAGATGCTAGAAATGGTCTACAAATATTCAGGGCTACAGAACCAAAAGCCACATACAGGTATTTGATAACCACATGCCATCACAAACAAGCAATGCCACAAATATGAGAAAGTGTGATCATATCTGGGATAAGCACTACATAAGCTAGGGCAGTGTCTCCCAAAGTGGGGTCCGCGGCCCCCTGGTGGGCCGCGAGGGTACTGCAGGGGGGCCGCGGGAGGTCATAAAAAAAATAATATACTTATTTAATGTTAAATTTATAATGTTTTGTTTGTAATACTAAATATTTGTGTTCATTATTTGACTTGAATAATCCTCTGTAATCATTTTTGTATTACAATGTTTGTAGCAGAGGCTATTTCCCCAAAATAAAATAACCAGAAGAGCCTATTCTTAATGTTGTCTTCTTGGATATTATTTTGGGGGGCCACGCAGACCCGTCAGATTTTTAAGGGGGCCTCGGTGTTACTGAGTTTGGGAATGGCTGAGCTAGGGGAATCCAACTCTGTCCTCAAAGGGCACTATCCACTCCTCTTCCTACTGTGTCTGCCATCATCATGACTTCTACTGTAGTCTGTTCATTGCTATTCACCTGCTGTCTCATTGTCTTAACCCGGCCTCATTCATCTGCATTCATTGGCCTGGCACTCATGGGCTGCACCCCCCTCCCGACCACTGCATCGCGTGGCCTCTCTGTCCTCGTTCTACAGGCTGAGGACCTATAGCCTGTCCGTCCATGGCAGCAGACCCCCCTCTCGATGTTGGTCGCCCCGAGATTTCATTTATTTACTTTATCAACATTTATGGACATTAGTCATCTGCCCCTTATGGACCAACACCTCTATGTGTTTTTTAATCATTGCATTTCCTGTGTTTAAACAGTTTGATTCTCTGATCTGTGTTGGCGAATTGACAAGATAACTACTATAACTTAGCAGGAGCTCACCGCACCCATTTCCTAAAGTGAGTCCAGTCTTAAGCCTGAAGACATGAGGAAATGGGAGTCTTGTGTGCGTCTGAAAGCTGAAGAGTGTGTGCTGGTGAAAGTGTGTTTGATGTTGTTCGTCTGAAGTTGGTCAGTGTGGTCCCACCTGCTGAGGCGGAGGCTCGGTGCCCCGGCTGGTCAGACGGCTCAGGATGCTCCGCTCGGACATCTGCAGCCGGGCCGACACTGGGGGGATCCTGGACAACATGTTGGGCAGTCGGGTCACATCTGCCTTCATGTCACTCAAGAGCTCTTCCAACTGGTTCAACACTGCACACATGAAGTACACAGACATTGTAATGCAAGGCCGTTACCATGGTTATTATGGACAATGGTATACAGGGACTGGTACACATGTATGTATATATGCATTTATGCATTTATTTAAATTGTGGACATTACAAATCTTAGCATATTACAATAACATTTCAAATAATTGTAGTCCTGTCACACAAATGAAAAGGAGCAATAAGAAAAAAAAAATGTTACCAAATAATTCAAGTTATTAAAGATGGACTGCACTCATTTTTCCAACACTTTATTATTGTATTTATTTTCTCTATATCTTTTACCATTCAATTCATACACTACAAAAAATTAAAACATATGAGGTAATAATTGCTTGATTCAAGTTTTTTTTTTTTTTTATCTTAATATGAATACATTTACTTTTTTCTAATTCCAAGAGAGACATTTCTCATACCTTTTTAAAACAATATAATTTTGCTTGTCCCATTGGCAAATCTTGTTTTTTAGGCAGTCAAAATGTGCTCAAATTAAGATACTGTACATATAGCCATGTTTGCAATTTCTATACTTATTTTTTATTACATTTTGCTGGGTGAATGGATATTGGCAGCCATCTTGGATATTGGCCGCCCTTCTTATGTGGTTTTGTTTTTAAGTTTTTGTCATCTACGCTTCAGTTTCAGATCTATCAGTATGGCGTGGCAAGACTGTGCGATAAAACAAGAGTCACCTCCTCAAACTCGTGTTGAAGAAAATCGGGCTAAAATCAGTCATAATAAAGTCATAAAAAGTAGTCTGAACGCCTGACTTTCTCCAATGGGGGATCAATAAAGTGTCTATATATCTATCTATCTATCTATGTAGTCCAGTAGTCTGAAGCAGGCTAAGAGACGACGGTGTTCCTGAAGAATTGACCAAATATGTCTAGCAAAATCCCATTTGAAACTAGTGGGCGACCTCAATTAAAACTGATTAACGAGTGATCCAAGGCTTGAAAATTAACAGCTGCCAAGAAATAAATGTCATAAAATTCCTCACTGGCAAATTAATTAATATGGGTCACATGGAAGAATATTATTCATTGCCTTCTTTGGTTTTTGGACCCATCCCAAACTTTCTCACCCTTCTAATCACTGCGTTACTAAATTAAAATTAAATGGAGCTGCAGAGTCCAACAGGTTCTCCATTAGCAACCAATGAAACTCGTGCGTAGTGTGTTAGAAACATTAGTCTTTATGAAATGACTTGGATTGACTCACGGCATGTGTTTTCACAAGAAACCAGAATTAATGTCATGGTAGAAAATTAAATAAACAACAGCGTTAAGAATTTGTTGGTGGGGAAAATCATCTGTAAAGTAACCTATGTTTAGCATTTAATAATTGTGTAGTCGGATGAAATGAAATATATGGGAAAAAATAAAAATAAAAATGCGTTTAGAGATTGATATATGATAGAAAACAGAAGCACTAGCCAAGAGTAAGGCAGGTGCTTGTACCACTAAGGGTAACACCGGTGAAAAATAACTACACTATGGTTTGGCCATACCTGCATGTGAAAGCCAGACCCTGTCAGACCTCTGAGGCTAAGCAGTGCAGAGGTTGGTTAGCACTGTGATGAGAGACCTCTGCGAACACCAGGTACAGCAGTGGATCGACTGAGGCTTTAAAGTGCCAAACTGTTGTTGTCTTGTACAAGTGACTGAATGGTTGATGGTGCTCGGAGGGGCCATATACTTCTGTCAGTGTGCCCCAGGGCAGCTGTGGCTACAGTAGTAGATTATCACCACTGTGTATGGAGTGAAAGAATAATGACATGTGAAGTGTCCTGAAAAGAGTTATATAAAATCTATGCATTGATGTCATTATTAAATTACTTTTGAAATCAAGATAATCAAGATAATTATAGCATACTACAAAGGTGAAAGGTCTTACTTTGGCCTACGGGGATTTAAAAAAGTATCAAACAGGATAATCACTGGCTTGTAGTCCAGACAAATAAGTGTTTTGCAAGGATCTCATCACATTAGTCCAGTCCTCAGGTCCCTGCACTGGCCTCCTGCCGCTCAAAGAATAGACTTTAAAACAGCTCTGCTTGTTACAAGTCTCTCCATGGCCTCATTCCAAAGAACATCTGTGATATGTTAGTGCCATATGAACCAACTCGGACTCTGAGGTTGCCACATTCAGACCTCTGCATAAAGAAGCATTATTTAAAGTTGTTGAAAGTAGCCCAGTTACCTTTGTGCAGCACAGCGTTGGCAGGCTTGTTTCCAGCCAGAGACTCTTTGGACAGATGCTGGTGGGACTCGGCGAGACACTCCACCTCAGTGAAGCGGGTGTTGAGGGACATGGCCGGGTGACTGGGGTCCTGGGTCATGTTCAGATACGCTGCCCTCCTCAGCTGCTCTTCTATCACCAGCGCCTGCTCCAGCAACTACACACAGAGGAAATACAGTTTTCATTAAATGGGTTATAACTGCAAAAAGTGGTCTCTCTCAGAACTTAAAAGATGAAGATTTTCTAATAGGAATAAGACAGCATGTTGTGGACTCATTAATTCACAAAAAATGGCTTCAGCTGTGTCCAGTGCCAACAAATGTTAACACCAGATCTATGACCTCTATTGTCAGTATAACTTTTACAACAATGAGTCAATAATGGAAACTAATGAGAAGTTGTACTGCGTTTAGTGAGATAAGTTAAAGCCATCCAATAATTAACTTTGTTTTAACTTTGTTTTAATGTGTTATTTAGGTAAAGCAAAATCCACTAATCCAAATTATTAAAGCCCAGAGCTGTTATTTTTAATCAAAGACAATTGCCTTGAAACGACGTGCCAAGAACTTATTCTTCATCTCGAGGTAGTTGCCTTTATGTATCTCCGTCTTGAAAGGCTCGTTCAGAATGGCGTAACGAGGGTCATTCTGAATGTCCTGCCAGCGGGCGTATCCGTGTCTGAGGGAAGAAGCTTAAGGAAAACCAAACAATTGAAAAAAGCACTTTGTGACTCTCGTCTGTGTGTTAAAATGAAGATTACTTACTTACTTCAAATGGCAACAAATATCAGAATATTCCCACAAAAAAACACAATTCTGTCTCTTTTAATGAAGTAGCACTGAAGTAGAACAACATGTGTACTCTCCAACCTATGGTTCAGGAGCTGCCAGTAATAGTTCAAAGTAGCTCCCAAAAGGATAATTTCATGGGTGGTTATAAAAAATGCTTACTTTTTTCACTAATAAATAAGAAAAGATTGTTTTATGGTTATAACGCTAAACAACAACAAAATCCCCCCAAAAAATAATGGTCCAAATTTGCCAACATTCATTGGAGAACAAAGTTTGCAAAAGCAACAAGAAATGTGTTGAAATATGACAAAAGCAGGGTGTTCTATTGTTTTAAGAAATGTAGCAAAACATTATTTCGACTGTCTAAAAGGACTAGCTCCTTGTCACTTTTCTCCCAGAAAAAATAGCTGTCCCAGGGAAAAGGTTGGAGACCCCAGGTGTCTCACAAAGCTTCCTGTGCCATCCCTTTGAAAACTGGGCTGTTGGACAATCCAGGACAAAACATTGTACATCTCCTTCCATAATCGCAACGTTATGTTTGAATGAAATGTAAGGGCACTGATGGATGGTTTAGTTGACAAAAGGCTTAGTCATACACAGCAAAGAATGATCAAATATGAGGTAGTAATGGTTTGAATCAAGTGGTTTTAATAATTAAGTAAGTAAGTAAGTAATCTTTATTTATATAGTGCCTTTCACAGACCAGTCACAAAGCGCTTTTTTACAATCTTAATCTTAATCTATGTTTGAGTACATTCTGACAGTCTTAAAAAAAGATTTTCCAATGGGACAAAATGATTTAGTCTTATTTCAAGAACTTTATTTTCTCATTCCAAGAGAGACAAAACAAGATACATTAGCTTGACCCATTGGCAAATCCTGACAAAATATGCTCAAATTAAAAATCATTTTTGCCAAATTTGAGTAATATTTGACGATTGAAGGGACCATAGTTTGTACACTTACTGGGCTCATCACATTATAGTTACGATGCAGACTCTTCCTGCCATGTCGCTTCTATATGAACTGATTACAGATGCAAACCACCTGCTGGGTTTTAGTTAGAAATGGTACAAACTGCTGTATTACGTATGATTTATTTTTCTAGCTGTAATGTGTGTGGTGCTTTTGCTTCTTTGATTTTTTCTATCTAAATATATCATACTGGCTACCTACAAAAAACTCATTCTGCTCTTATCGGATGTGCTTGAAAACCTGAAACATAAATATTGTGGACCTTGTGTAAATTTTTTCTTGCCTTTCCTTGCCTGATGATAACGTTAAACTTTTGTTCAGAAAAGACCATATATATATTGACTTATTGCTGACCTAGTTGTCTGGGAACACTATAAATGAAAATGAAAACAATACATACAGCCCCTTTAAGTGCAAAGTATCATTAACATACTTTAATCTATGGCTATAATATCTAAATCCAAATAAAGGGGGTCATAATGAAGAGATCACCTGAGCTCCACTCCACCTAATCCAGAGATTAAAATGATTTTTCTCAGTGTGTATTGCTTCTTACATTAAGCAGCCTCTCCATCCTCTGGGACTCCTCTCATCACCAGTACTTACACCACCGGGCGGATGATGAGCCTAATTTTGGATTCACATCTGGTAAAAGGATACGTTACAATGCCAGCCAATAGCCAGTAGTCATGGCGACGATGCCAGATGTCATGCATTTTTCCAGAAGACAGCGCGGCTCGCTCCTCGGTCTGCCAGAGAGTGTGCAGCTCTGGTGGAGCAAAAACACACACACACAAACCCAAACGCATGCACACACAACACACAAACACCACACATCACGCACACACACACACACATTCACCCGGAGCCATTACCAAGGCGTTTTTTTGGATCGAAATGATGGAGAGTATGATGGAGAGTAATAGGATGTTGACCAAACAAGCAAGATTTGTGATGGATAATGATGCCGAGAGTGGAGTAAAAAATGCGAAAGGACTAATTGTGCTCTTCTTTGCTAAATTTTGGCCAAACTACACAAGGCCTGCAGCAATGAGCGCCCTTAACAACAGACGATGGGTCGTTGCGACTTATTGTCACAATGAAACATATGATTTGGATTAACAAACTAAACAACACATTTTTGGGAGGATTTGAAGCTAAATTCAAGTGTGTAGATAATAAACTATTGGCAAACAAAGTGGAGTAGAGGGGAAAAAACAGTGCACACGGATTAAGTTCAGACTCCTGGAATTAATGCAAAATTTGTATTTGGATATTTGGCAGTGGAAGCCAGAACATGTGCAGGCCAATGATAACGAGGATTAGTGTCACCTTAAACACACCACTATTGCTCCATTGGAAATGTTTTAATGGCCGGAGTTGGTCTGGGTTTTTGTCAGAGTCGTTCTGTTTGATGTTATGAAATGAAGCCTGGTTAAATCACTGTCTGCTTTGGCCCCAAATTTCACTCTCGCTGGTCTCTCTGATTTCTCTAGCTAGTCTCTCACTGGTCTCTCGCTGGTCTCTTGATGGTCTCTCTCTGAGGCTTCTCTATCTGGTCTCTCTCTGGTCAGTGAGGCTAATCTCAATAGGATCCATTCCTTATTCTGTTTAAATGTGTTGACTGTTGAGTGTTCCATAATCCAGGATGTGCATATATGTTTTTTCTGTGTGTTTTTGTGCCTTTGTTCTGTACTATTTTTAGTGAGATATGAAAAGTAGGATTTTCTTGAGTTCTGGGGGTGGAGGTGCTCAGAAATGTCTTTCCCACTACTTTAGAGCAGAATCTATTATGTTCAAATAAATATATAAATAAATAGCTCCAGTTGGTCTTACCTGTAAATCCCCCATCCGCTATATTGAACATGAACTTTGTCTTGTATCCATTCTTGTCCTCTGGTCCTCTCCGGCTCTCCTCCATCTCAAACAGCGGATCTTTGTCCCCATTTACACGCCCTTCCAAATCTTCATTCTTCACGACATCGACAACAGCTACAGAAAAGCCAGAATGTCCCAGCATTAGACCTAGACACAGTTTCTCACTATATTAACCTTGACAATGAAGATATATTTTACGTCTCCATGTATTGTATTTACTCGTCTTGTTTTCCTTGTCTTCGCTTTTTGCCTGAGGGGAATAAGGCTCTCCTTTTTCTGTAGTCATTTCGGTTTCTTTGCTGGCGTCCGCTGAGGTTGCTGCAAGCCCAAAAGCATCAATTAAAGCCTATACAAGCCTCGCGGTAAAATAAACTTTGCAGTGTAGCGTCAGGTGCAAGAAACTCACCTTTAGGCGAAGTTTGACTGGATGACAGCTCAGTCAGCTTCAAACAGGATTCTTTGAGGCTGGCAGATGATTCGGTCTTAGCGCAGGGCGACGAGGCCGGGTCCCTCTCATCTCCGGGCTTCTCCTCTGGGCTGGACTTGGCCTCCTCGCTGTCAGCCGACTTTTCAGGCGCAGCTGCTGGTGCTGTCTCAGAGCAGGCAGTCTTCTGGGAAACGTGAGACAGACAGGAAAGAACGAAGGAGTTAGAGAGAGAAGAGATAAAAGCTGTTGGAGTTTGACAGAAGGTGGAACATTGTGTATGGGCAAAATGTGTGGAGATGATGTGCTGGTCATGAGACAGGAGACCAGATGGTTTACAGCACAGGTGTCAAATCCAAGGCCCGCGAGCTAAATGCGGCCCGTCAGACCATAACTTGTGGCCCCTGAAATTATTTTCAATTATTACTATTAATATACCGTTTCCACATTGATAGTGAGGTTAATATGAGCTACTATGGGGTGTTATTTTTAATTTTAAAGATAATATCCATAATTTTTATGTAATTTGAACCCAACACATGATTGTAAAGTGTTAGTAAAAAATATTAATCAGTGGCCAATTATCTAACTATGACCCAGTTTTGGTTGAGTCCAAACATATTGAAACTGAACTAGTTTTATTCAGAAAAAGACAGAAAAAAATCTAAATTTAGGTTACATTTAAGTTATCCTTCAAAAAACTGAATTTACAAATATCCACAGATGCAAAGATGAGATTCAAACACTTTTATAGAAATAAAATCTCTAACTTTAGCATAATAAAGTAGCACGTAAAGATTCTTTAGCAAAGATTACTTTAGCAAAATAAAGAAGCAAGTGTGAAATACATACAAAAATATATAGTTGTATGTTTATGGTTATGGGACAAAGTTACTAAGTACAGTTTAAATGTGGTTCTACATTATTCAAATTAGTATTGCACAGGTAATTAAGGTAACAGTGGACACATGTGGTTTCATGGTATATAAATTGATCTTACTTCCTGGTCTGAAGTCTTTTTGCTCTCTGGCTCTGGAGTGGCTTTGTCTTCTACTGTCCCCACAAGAGATTCTGGTTTCTCTGCATCACAGACAAACAACAGCCTTAATCCTGAGCATGTAGCTGTTGGGAGTTATCCCATGGACTGCACATTCTGACCTATGGGCACAGGAGTACTGGGCTGAGTGGTGACTGGACTGGCTGGGACAGGGGTGTTGGGATCTGACGATACACTCTCTGTTAGCTTCTTCAGTTCCATCCCAATCGGAATCAGATCTGGAGAGCTCAGTTTCCCATTTACATGCTCAAACTCTTGAACCTGAAGCAGAGAAAACAATCCAAAATCCAAAGTATATTGTTTTTCTATCTCTATGTAGTTTATATGTGGAGTATTTTTTTATGAAATGTACTTTTGAAATGAGAGTAGACTACCTTTACCTATTCTCTTAAGTGACTATTAATTGTTTAATATTCTGTGATCATTTATGATGTAATGCCTTGGGTGACTGTCCAGATCTTGTTTTGTACAAATAAACTTGCCTTACCTCCCAGAGTAGCACCAGTATTAGTTACCATAGCAACATAATGTATACTTGCTTCCCGTTAGCATTTGGTAGCCTTTCAAATTAACTGCTTTTTTCGCTGTATTTAAAGTTGCATTAAGTTTAAGCACTTAGTAAAAGTGAGTAACGGTGAAATATATATATACCTAAATATATATACACTTTTAATACAGTTGTTGAAAAACTAAAAAGTTACATTTTGTTACATTTCAGAACAGAAGTAGCTTTTAGTGTTCTATAAATGTTTCCCACCGAAAATAATAATTCCCCTCCTCGATTATAGGTAGTATTTTTAGACTGGTTGTTAAAGGTACTTCCCCCCATTGCGCAGAAAGTACATTACATTTCTCCGCAAACCTCGGTAAGAGAGTCAATTTCCGCATCAAGAACGGCTTTAGTCTGACATCTCCAAAACGACATGTTCCTCTTGAATGCGTGTGCCCAGACAGTTTGACCTACTTTGTCTAATCTCAAAGTGCCCTGGCAGAGAACAGAGTGTGTTTGAGGCGGAAAAAACACATCTCGCCCCGCGTCAGAATAACGTGTACCTTCTTCCTAACCAGAGACATGACACCGATCCGGGTGAGGACGTGCTGACGGGACAGGCCCTCTCGTGGGACTCCATCAGCAAAAGTCTCCGCTCCATCTGCTCCTGGTTCACACAGATGCCGCATGAAAAGTGACACATAGGCCCTGATGAAAGAGGATAAAACTGCGTCAGAAAGATTGAGGTTCAAAGTTAGATATTGAGAATTGTAATGAGCAAAAAATTCTACAGAAAATACATCAAGGGGAAAAGTATTTGGTGCTATTGACTGGGGAAAAAGTAAGAGTTTGAACTGTTTCAGTCTTGTCTGTGTTTACACTAATGAGAGCAACACATCACAAGCACAGAATGAAATATTTAAAATAGGAAATGTTTGCCTTGGGTGCAGAAAGGATGTAGTGCAAATTTCCACAAACAAGACTGGAGACGTCAAACTTTGCAACTCTAACAGTGTAATGGGGAAGATCGGAACTTTACTAGTCATACAAAGTCATTTCTAATGTTATTTATTGACAATACAAGGCTCGTTTGGCAGTGTGCATTCTATGTTCATTAACTAACCCTATAACCCTATGACTATGGACCAGTACATTCTCAGACTCTGGGGAGCACATGGACTGGCCTCCTGCTGGTGCCCAGAGTCAGAACTAAACATGAAGAGGCAGCATTTCAGAGTTACAGTATGCAGCTATAATCTCTGGTCTCTCTCTGGTCTCTCTCTGGTCTCTCTCTGGTCTCTTTCTGGCCTCTCTCTGGTCTCTCTCTGGTCTCTCTCTGGCCTCTCTCTGGTCTCTCTCTGGCCTCTCTCTGGTCTCTCTCTGGTCTCTTTCTGGCCTCTCTCTGGTCTCTCTCTGGCCTCTCTCTGGTCTGTCTTTAGTCACTCTTTGGTGACTCTCTGGTCACTCTCTGGCCTCTCTCTGGTCTGTCTTTGGTCACTCTTTGGTGACTCTTTGGTCACTTTTTGGTCGCTCTCTGGTCTCGCTCTCTGGTCTCGCTCTCTGGTCTCGCTCTCTGGTCTCGCTCTCTGGTCTCGCTCTCTGGTCTCGCTCTCTGGTCTCGCTCTCTGGTCTCGCTCTCTGGTCTCGCTCTCTGGTCTCGCTCTCTGGTCTCGCTCTCTGGTCTCGCTCTCTGGTCTCGCTCTCTGGTCTCGCTCTCTGGTCTCGCTCTCTGGTCTCGCTCTCTGGTCTCGCTCTCTGGTCTCGCTCTCTGGTCTCGCTCTCTGGTCTCGCTCTCTGGTCTCGCTCTCTGGTCTCGCTCTCTGGTCTCGCTCTCTGGTCTCGCTCTCTGGTCTCGCTCTCTGGTCTCGCTCTCTGGTCTCGCTCTCTAGTCTCGCTCTCTGGTCTCGCTCTCTGGTCTCGCTCTCTGGTCTCTCTCTCTGGTCTCTCTCTCTCTTTGGTCTCGCTCCCTGGTCTCGCTCTCTGGTCTTGCTCTCTCTCTTTGGTCTTTCTCTTGTCTCTCTCTCTGGTCCCTCTTTCTTCCTGAAAGTGTGAGACAGGCTTGTTCTCTGACAATGTGTGCATACAACTGAGGGATTTAATCTAACTGTTTTAATTTACTTATTATGTTAATGATTGTATTGCCCCTTTATTGTTTCTATCTTGTTTTGTTTACTACTTTGAGTTGCCTTGAGCATAAACTGTGCAGTATAAATAAACTTTCCTTGCCTTGCCTTGAACCACAAAACACAATGTTGGCCACAGCATTGACCATGTGGGTTACAGTCAAATTTCTACAAAAACAAAAATCTGAGAGCGAATTTCATCCAAAGCTTTTCAAACCTGAACTCTCGCTCGCTCTTCCCTTTCAGGTCCCGCACCAGCCAGTGAGAATTGAAGGCGTCCTGAGGTGGCATCCCCCAGCGCATGATGGCGTTGAGGAAGGCTTTTCTTTGCCGGGCATTGAAGCCAAGCACCTGCGATGGAAAGAAAGGAGATTTAACGTGAGCTTTTGACACCACTCTGAGTGCCTGAAAGCCTGGCCATACAAAGCCATACAAAAGAATACAATACCATTTTTTCAACAGTTTTATAGCAAAAAATGTAAAATGTAAAAATTAATTTATGGACATTGGTCATCTGCCCCTTATGGACCAATGGCTCTATGTGTTTTTTATCATTGCATTTATTGTGTTTGAACTGCTTGATTCTCTGATCTGTGCTGGTGAATCGACGGTTTTGTAAAGTCCACAGGGATAACTACTGTGATTGTGATTTAGGGCTATACAAGAATGAACTGAATTAAAAGTAGCGCTGGGCGATATGGCAAAAAAGAATAATCTCGATTTTATTTCCTGCTTTGGACGATTTTGATTTTGAATTGATTTTCATTCAATTCACCAAAGACAGACATTGCCCTTAAAAATATTTTTTGAGGGCAATATTTAATTTTTTTTTTGCTCAATATTCAAGTTTTCAAACTATTTTTAATTTGTTTCCCCCAATACATATTATACAAGTCTTGTACAAACTGTGCTGATATTGCGAGTATAATTAATGTGCTGCTGGAACTTTTGGAATTTGGAATTTTTTCAAATGCCGATTAATTGCCTAAATTTGATTTATTGCCCAGCCCTAATTGAAAGTATAAAAGGTCTATCTTTAGCATGATAAAGAAGCAAGTGTAAAAAATACTGTATATTCTAGTTCAAGTAATATATAGTTGAATGTATACATCTGTACATGTTAGCAGCATGAGGGGAAAGGACAAAGTAAAGTGACATGTGGTTCTGTATTGCACATTCTGACATTATTCTTATCAGATTATTGCACAGACGGACATCATGTGAGGTCAGGTTGGGGTAAGGCTTATTCCTCATTATTACCTCAATACTTCCTCCAACTCGAGCGAGGAGTGGTGGCAGGGGCTTGTCTTTGTCACCCCTTAGCTGCCTTCTGGAGTGTCTCCGTCCACCTGAAAAGCAATTATGTCAATACCACTGGAAAACCTCCACGCAAAGTCAACACAAAGGATTTTAATTTGTTTTGCGTAAGGACTTGCCAAACTATATGGGATTAAATGTTTTGTTTTGTTGTGGGCTCACCTTCCGGTCTCTCCTCAAAGTCTTCGTCCTCATCCTCGGACCCCACAGAGTACTCCGACTGATTGTCTGAAAGATCATCTTGCCACTCTGAGTCACACATCGGAGAGAAACAGTACATTGCACAATCGCTCCCACTAGTGCCCACCTGGGGGCGCCATGGCACTGCAGATTACTACAGACCACTATCTCATGCACTATAGATGTAAACTGTATTCTATCAAGTCTACATCCAGGACCACCCACCCATCTTCACTCTGGATGCATTTTATCATTTTTATTTATAGACATATTCTGTGTCTGCTTGCTTTCTATGTTCTAATGCTTATGTTTATATTCTTTGTAAATTTAAGTAAAAAACAATTATGCTTTCATGTACTTTTTACATTTTTGTTTGTTGTATTGTATTTTTATCTGTAGCTCTTTTAAGTTTACAAGATAACAATTATTATTATTATTATTATTCAAATTATATACAAATAGCCTTTTATAGATTTATTGATTTTAGACTGAACGAGAGTTTTATCATTAATAAGGGACTGTGACTAACACTTTAGTTTGTGCCCTGCAATACTAGGTCAATGTGTAAAATTAATATTTATCCCTTTGTAATAACTCATCTAAAAATACAATAGACCTGATGTTCACCATATTTATGGTCACAAGGATCAAGATTATCCAATCAGAGAGCAGGATGAGGCTCTCATTTGGTGAAATTTAGCGGGTCTTTTTTGCGTAATAACTAAAACTCACAAACAGAAAAATAGCACCACACATTTGTTTAAACGAAATTAGCAGACGAGCAAAGTGATCTTGTTTTAAAAAGATACAAGAAATATCTCCCTTGGAATGAGAAAATAAAACAACAGTTTTGTGAATAAGACCAAATGGCTTTGTCCCATTGGAAAATCTTGTTTTGGGAGATTCAGAAGGAACTCAAATTAAGATAAAAAAAGTATTTATAACGTCGTTTTTTGCCCATGTACTGTGCATAAAAGACACAATAAGTTTTTGCTAAATGTAGGTCAAATGCTCTTGTTGAAGCACCATAAACAAGGTCATTCATTTGCACACAGTTATTTCCTGAACCGATAAATCCAAATTATTTTGCGGTAAAGTGCTGTCTCCCCGTTAGTCTGCTAATGAGCTAGAATACCTGCGGAGCTAAATTAGAATAGTGTCGTTAATGAGGCGTCAAAATGAGTCCACGGCTGAGTGCGCTTGACCCGTGATTAAAGGGAAATCTGTAAAAATGGCTTTTGTGTCTACGGTTTTCTTTGTTTGGTTTTTGTTTCAATTTAATTGTCTTTATTTACAAATCTTCATAGTCGTAAAAGTAATATACATTTTATGACTATAAATGTATATTACTAGGGAACCCCCAGGAAGTTGTAGGCTTCAGCTTGAAGGCGTTTCTAGAATTGGGAATTGTTTAGAAGAAAATAGGCCCGAAGATAATATTGAAAAAAAAACAATTATAATTTTTCACTGGATTGAGCTATGTTGTGACAGGAGCTCTGGTGTTTTTACTATCTTCTGGTGCACACTGGGGGTAGTCTTGCACAGTTTTCCCCAAGTGGTTTTACTGCAAACGGCAAAAACATTCTTGTATATTGTAACGTACAGACTATTTTATATGACCTAGTTAAGACCTATATGAGACCCATGGTATAAAGTCATACAGTCTACTCATAATGCTAAAAAAAATTCTGTCAATCCTCCACAAATGCTTATTTACTGCTGCTTGATCAAAGGAGACAATTTAACTTTTCAATTAGCAATGCAATAGTATAATCCTCACCCTCTTTTCCTCACACCACTGTACTGCACGTGCTCTATATTCATCCCTCTCTGAAGTGTGTTCCTCTGGTGTGGTGACCTAGTTTGAGTCTCCTATAGCTGTTCTAAAAACAATTGATATACCTGAACTTGAAAAAGGCCGTACTTACCTTGAAATGCAGCTAAACAAACCACTATAAAATATACCCAACATTTTATGACTTGACTATACTTCATATTTTTAGAGCAGAAAAACGTGCAGGCGCTACCTTGGTCCTCCTGAGTAGTGTCGTTGTAGTTGACCTGTTTTCGGATGCGTTTGCCTTTGCCCAGGTTTCGAGCCAGGTCTTCCTGCTGCTGCTCGTAGTGGTGACGCAAAAGTTTTTCCCAATAATCTGGATCCACGTTCTCCTCCTGCTTTATGATCTCTCGCTCAATCTCCTCCTGCACAGCCAAAATGAAACTCACGGTTAAAGTGAAAGGGTTTACTGCACTGCAAAAATAATGATGAAATATGAGGTGATATTTGTTTGATAAGAGCGTTTTTTTTTCTTATTTTGAGAAAGTAATCTTTCTTACTTTAAGATTTTACAAGATTTGCCAATGGGACAAGCCATTTAGTCCTATTTAAAAAACTGTTGCTTTTTTTTTTATTCCAAGGGAGATATTGGCAAATCTTGTTTTAAGGAAATCCAAATGTGCTCAAATTAAGATACATTTAGCCAAATCTGAGGCATTTTTAACTTGTTTTTTATTATTTTTTGCACTGTCCAATGACCTGCAGCATCTGTGAAGCTAATCATTTGTGGTTTTATAAATTGAGACAAGAGATGGAGAGTAACATGAGAGAAACAAAGCCCTATTGACTGATGAAAAAGAACATTGTTACTTCTAATGCTCCTCACAACAATCCATTTCTCAGATGTGTTGAGGGAACTATACTTTGCTTGAAATCAGACTCAATTGATTTGCAAAGCTGTTGTTCAAAAACAAACGGTCAAATGCACTTTAAATCAACCCCCTATGGGTACACACAGTTATTATAGGGGAGGTATAATCAACTTGATAACATCAGTAGTACAATGTTTGTATTCGAGCCATCACCATGTACTACTGTATATGATTTTAGAGCTAATCCTCTCACAGTGTTTGGAAGAGGGCCTTCTCAGTGAAGTTTGCATGTTCTCCCCCTTTCTACGTAGGTTTCTTCTGGGTGCTCCTATTTCCCCTGGGTGCTCCAGTTTCATATGCACAATAGATTAAATTCTCTTGCTGCAGTGGTCCTGACCAAGCTGAGCATCCAAATCTGCAGAGCAGTCTACACTGAGGGGTCCACTGCTTCTGACAGATTTCCCTCGTGCAGGGGTGGGGAATTATTTTATTTTTTTCCCCAGGGGATTACGTTGCAATATTGGTACATTGGGGAGAGCTAGACTCGTTTTTAATGTGGTTGCCATTTTATTAGAGTTTAAGCTAATTTGTTGAAAACATTAGCAAACATGTGTGTATGTGATAAACAAAAGTTTTTACAGAAGAGAAGGAGAGAGAAACCTGAAGAGTCCAATGTTATATTTAGGTTTAGGTAACGTGTTCGTGTTAGCTGATGTGTTACAAGTATTAACCTTACAATATGGAAGGTACTTTGAGGAAATAATAATTGTATACATTTGAATTGCATTTTTACTTTACAAATCCTGCTTGGACTGAACCAAAGGTGGACTAAAGCTAAAGAAGGCATGTATTATGAACAGGAAAATATTTTTTATGCATGTTTTATGAGCATGGTATTTTAGCACTCATGGAGTTGCAAACATTTAAAGTGATACCCATTCATTTAAATAGGGGGAAACGGAATGAAGTTTTTGAAAAGGGAAAAGGTTTGCCCAGGTCAGTGCTCGTGGCATTGCAGGATAGGTCAAGGAATGTAGTTTTTTCTCAGTCACATAAATAAACTCTCCCAAGTGTCTTTGTCTTTGAAGTGTCATTTCTCTGTTATGTTATCTTGGCACAACACTGTAACCATGGCAACAGAGTACTCACCTCCTCATCCTCCTCCTTCACCACGTACTGGGCCACCTTAAAGGAGCTCAGGTACTCGTTCATGTTCTGTATCTCTGTGTCTTCGGTGGCATCTTGGCTTCGGTCCAACAGTTTAGAGATGGCGTCGTCATCATAATGGATCACATTGCACTCCTCTCCTTCCTTGTTTTCCCCTTGACCAAAAAATACAATGCAATGTATTTCCCTTATCAGACTGACCAACGAACACTGTGCTGTACAAGACATTCAGTGTTGCATCATGTTACAGAAGAGAAGGAATGAGGAGCACACAAGATAAATCTATACTAAAATAAAATCTATAATAGCATAATAAAGAAGGAAGTATCATCTCTAGCTTTAGCATCATAAGGAAGCAAGTATATCATTTATCATAATGTATAAGTATAAGTTTATCATAATGAAGAAGCAAGAGTGAAGTATAGTTTGTCCGATGAAAACTAATCTAAGCCCTTTAAAAACATGCTCATCTGAACCCTTACTCTATCTTTATTATAAAAAAACAGAAAAAAACGTTGAATTTCATATGATTACAGTTGATTACACACTTTTACAAGAGACACATGTCCAAAAAGAATTTCCAGTTCAGGTTAAGTCGCTTGTTGAACTGTTGGGTCATACACATAGACTGTACATATTAACGGACAGAGTCACGCCTATCTCCGCAGTTCAAACTAATGTGCCAAAAATTTTGCTCTACTGGAGCTATCCAAAATGGCCGCAAAAAAAGAAAATTGTGAAAAAACGCATCTGCTCATGCGTCAGCCGGCGAGAGCTCCATTCATTTGAACGAGAGACTTCAAAAATTCACAGCGAGTAAACCAGAGTGGTCCAAAAAAATGCACCCCCCTCAGCATTGACACACATGTGGAACGGAGCTTTGGGCCAAGAGCCAACTTTTGGACCATCCTGTAAAGACGTTTTCGAGAGGTCACCAAATGCTATATGTTAGCATTGGCTAATTCTTATTCCGGGTCCACCCCCATCGGCCCGGGGTGGTATTGTAAGCATGTCAGCGCACATCATTTTGGACACTTTTGAGCCGGGACCCGCCCCCACTGGTCAATAATCACACACTTTACTTTCATTTTCAATGCAAATGTGCTTGTAAACTTGTAAAAATACTGGCAATTATACAAAAGCAATCATTTGTTTTTGTGTAGTGGAGGATAGAACACTACTCACCCATTGCCTCCAATTCATTTTTAAACAGCTCCTCTGTGCCAAACTTGAGGATATCGTCGAGTTCTTGTTTGGACATAGATCCTGTTTTCGAGCCCAGACCGGGACGGACCACCAAGTGCGTCAGCATCATCTTCCTCTTTGCCACCTGGGTGATGCGCTCCTCCACCGAGCCTCGCGTCACAAAACGGTAGATCATGACCTTCTTGTTTTGGCCGATACGGTGAGCTCTGCTGAAAGCCTGCAGTGGAGAAAAATGTGGATTAAAACAACAACAACTCCTGAGGGTCGTAAGAGCAAGTGCTGGGAGAGAGGTGTAGGGAAAGTGTAAAGGGGGTTGTGTGTGTGTGTGTGTGTGTGTGTGTGTGTGTGTGTGTGTGAGTGTGTTTATGTATGTGTGTGTATGTACTGTATGTTCGTGTGTGTGTGTATGTGTGTTTGTATGTGTAAGTGTATATGTATGTGTGTATCTATATATCTTTCTATATCCTAAGCATTTGTTTGTTATAATTTTGAGGATGATACAGTCAAAGTAACAGAACTTAAAATACTTTTGAACGGTATTCACATTTTTTGAGTTTCACCTGTATGACATTGTGAAAACTTTATGAGCTGTACAATAATATTCTAATAAGGGATGAGCTGAATTGCATTGTATGGTATTGTAACTGTATTGTGTTGTCTTGCGTTGAATTGGTGAGATGAGATTGGGAGTACATCATTCAAACCCTATTCTGTACTTGTACTGTCTGTCTGTGTTTATGTTAGGGTTAGTGCCCCATTTCTTCCATGACAATGCAACAAAATAACACAATAATCAAGCAAGTACAACAGTATTACGTTCCATATGTGAAAATATATTGCATAGATTTAAAAACAAATCATTTAATTTAATCTAAATTGCATTTGTACTTGTATGTCGTTGTGAGGATTCCAATCGGAGTCATAAATTATAACCGTGTCTGCACTGGCCAGGTTGATGCCAAGACCTCCAGCTCGAGTTGACAAAAGAAAGCAAAATTGTTGAGCTCCAGGTGCTAAGAAAGAAATCAAAAACAAGTCAAAATGTGTCACACCTAAAAGAACTAGACATAACACTGAACCCACCGTTAAATCTGTCTATGGCCTCTTGCCTCAGTCCCCCAGTGATTGCACCATCTATACGTTCATATTTATAGCCCTCAAACTCCAGGAAGTCCTCCAGTAGGTCCAGCATCTTTGTCATCTGAGTTGTACACGTTTGAAGAATGTTAGTGCCTGGTATATGTGATTACAAACATTATAGTTGTACAAAGTGTAAAAACACCTGTGAAAAGATAAGAACTCTGTGGCCTTCATCTTTGAGGTTCTTGAGCATTTTCTGAAGCAGCGTGAGTTTGCCTGAGGACTTCACCAACTGACTTCCGTCGTAGGATCCGTTGGGTAAGACTGGAGCTTCCTGTGAGATGTTTGGAAGAAGAAATGTTATGTGTTGTGTTTGTCTATTCACAATAACCATGAGACAATTTACTTTAAGAAACACATAATAATACACGGTGAAGCAACTATGAAGGGTAAAAAAAAAAAAAACACTTTCCGCCTTTAACTCCCTATGCTACCACCAGAGGGAGGAGTTGAGTTTGTTTGAGTTGTTTTCCAATTTCTAACTTTTCAAGATGCAAACGCAGTCGTGGGATTGTAAAGACGGTCATATCATCTGAGAAATTACCAGAACAAGTAACTAAACTAATTAAACTAATTTAAGCTTGTACACGGTGGCACGGTGGCTGAGTGGATAGCACTCTCGCCTCTCAGCAAGAAGGTCCTGGGTTCGAATCCCGGTTGGACCAGGGCCTTTCTGAGTGGAGTTTGCGTGTTCTCCCCGTGTCTGCGTAGGTTTCCTCCGGGTGCTCCGGTTTCCCCTACCACTAAAAATATGTACAATAGGTCTGGCATGTGCGTCCTGTACTGGCACCCCCACTCCCAAAAATAACAATTGTAAACCGCTTTGAGACTCCGATGTGCAGTGAAAAGGCGGTATATAAATAAAGATTACTTACTAAATTACTTACTTACAATGGCATCACACAATTACAGAACTAAGATAGGAGCTTGTACTGTACATGTTACACATTTGTGCTCCAAATAAGTTTCTTCCCACTTTATCTGTTGTCCATCTGTTCATTGCTATTCACCCGCTGTCCTATTGTCTGATTCATAGCGTGATGATGGGATCCCTGCACCTGTCCTCCTCCATCTGCAAAACTATTTTCCCCAACCCGAATTCGTGAGCTGCACAAATACGGCCATCTTTTTACCAAGTCATTTTGTGTTTGAACAGTTTGATTCTCTGATCTATGTTGGCGAATCGGCAACTTTGCCAACACCGAGATAATGTGACATGTTGTGATTTTGGGCTATACAAAAATAAATTGAATGTTTTTGACTTGATCGAGTCTGAGGCACTCTGTTGAAGGGAACATTTTCATTTCAACAGAGTGAGTGCCTCAGACTCCTTTTTTTAACCGCTCAATCACCACACTACGATCAAGTCAAAAACATCCGATATCTGCTTAGATTGCCCTGTCTTTGAAGGGAACCTGTTTGTCAAGCCGTCTACCACTCGAACCCTCTGCAGCACTCACATTTCTTGCATTGAACTAAACATAAATTGAAATTGAAGTCCCTGATATTAGACCTAAAAAATAACCCCAGGTCTGGTCTCATCAAAGATACTATATTCATTCAGGTTATCAGAACTGCTTCTTTTTTGTTGTCTGTTTTTGCTTTATATGGACTTATATGTGTCTGAATTAAAAAATAAAAAATGTAGTCATATAAAGTACAATTTCCAATCAAAGTTACTTGATGATTAACTTACCCCGGCTGCCACTGGGAACAGGTATGGATGGTTGCAGCACTTCTTCAGATCCATCATTATATTGAGTAAAGACACTTGGTTTCCGCCTCCCTTAGAGTTTAGCGCCTCAAAGTTTCTTGTCAAAATGAACTTGTAATATTTCCTATTTGTCAGAAGACGCATTACAGTAATACATCAGAATCACATTACACTTCATACTTATTCTAGTGACATTTCTGCTGGCATTTAAGCAGAGAAAACTTGTCAGTCCCAAAGTGACTTTTACAAAGCCAGATTAATGAGTCGTTTTAAAAATCACTGGGTTTTATCAAAAGTTGCAGACAGGAGTAATGAATCAAAAGGAGGTCTTACTTCTGCATAGGGCTTAGTTCTACCCTGACAATCAGTTCTGTCTTTGCGGGCATGTTCTTGAAGACGTCGGCCTTCAGTCTACGCAGCATGTGAGGCCCCAGCAGGTCGTGGAGCTTCTTGATCTGGTCTTCTTTTGAAATGTCCGCAAACTCCTCCAAAAAGCCTTCCAGATTACTGCACATATAACACAGCGGTACACAATGACTAACAGTCTATTTTCTTAGCCTGAGCAAGCCAGTGCAGACACCTGGGGACTGGACTAATATGATCATACTTCCTGGTTCTAGTCCTGTGAGCAGGCCACTACACTAATCTAACCTACTGGAGACAAATGAAGGGATAACAATCTCTTGCTACTTGCTTCTTAATTACAATAAAATTAGAGATTTTATTATGTCAAAGTATAGAGTTACTGTTCACTCATCTTGTGCTGTGTGTTCCTCATTCCTACTGTTCTGTAACTGGTGATGCAGCAAATAAATTTCCCCACTGTGGGACGAATAAAGGATCTTATTCTTAATCTTAATCTTAGACTCACTTGAAGCGTTCTGGGGTGAGGAAGTTGAGTAAGTGGAAAAGTTCCTCAAGGTTGTTCTGCAGCGGGGTCCCAGTGAGCAGCAGCTTATAGTAAATTTTATACCCATTCAGAATCCTGAAAAACTGGACAGTACATTTGGAAATCAGCATCAAAATGATAAAATACATAGCTTAAGATATAATAAATATGGGCAAATACTACTGATAATAGTAATGATAATGCATACATTTTATATTGCGTTTTCAGGACACACAAAGGTGCTTCATATGTCATTCTTCTTTCACTCCATACACAGTGGTGAAAAACTACAACTGTAGCCACATTTGCCCGGGGCACACTAAACGAGCGAAGCAATCGGTATGTACCATCAGCCTCTCCCACCATCACCAGCCATTCACACACACACCAGACTCTTTTGAGGCAATGTGGGTGTCTTGTCTAAGGACACAGCCCCACTGTGGCAGGAATCTGGCTTTCACAGTTATGGCCAAATACTAATTTACCTTTGATTGGTTGTTTTTCAGTCTGTGGGCTTCATCGACCACCAAACATGCCCAGCTGATGGAGCCAAGAATGGCCTGATCGATGGTGATCAACTCATAGGAGGTCAGCAACACATGGAATTTGATCTGGGTATCTTTCTGTAAAGTAAAGACGCATATCACAATCTGCTGTACAAATGTAAAAAGTTCATTATATCTTGGCTTAGAAGGTTCTAGTAATAAGGACGGAGCGTCAACAGAGACGAGGGGGCCTTCACCTTTACTTGCACTTGGGACTCACTTTTCTAGAAACCACACCGCGTTGGGGGCAAGGCCAGTCTGACGAATCAGTTAGAGCTGTCAGAGTGACCACATCCGTTTACAACCTCAGAACCAGTGGGGGCAGGTCCCGGCTCAAAAAGGTCCATGAGAATGTGTGCTGACATTCTTTCAATCTGGCTCCTTGCCAGTGGTGGCGTACAGGAAACAGAATTATCCAATGCATCCTTATGGCTTCATTTTTCCTCTCGAAAACAGCTTTACAGCCTGGTCCAAAAGTCGGCTCTTGGCTTGACGCTACGTTCCAGATGGGCGTCAATGCTGAGGGGAGTTTTTTTTGTTATCTGCCAGTCTCGTGCCGGCTAACGCATGCGCAAAGTCTCCTCTGACAAAGATGCAAATCTTCCGCCCAAACATATTGTAATTAAGCCTTACGCGTCTTCACATTTTTGCCTTTTTACAGGAACCTTCTAAGCCTTAATCTGCTGTACACTTCTAGTTACAATAATAAAAACACATTGATTACAGCAGCTTACCTTCATTCTGAAAACCTTACGGCCCTGTTTTATGGCGTTGTCTTCGAACGTGAACTCGTTCTCCCTGATGATGGCTCGGCTGTCCTTGTCCCCAGTGTACGTCAGCACATAGAAGTCTGGAGCCCACATCTCAAACTCTCTCTCCCAATTGATGATCGTGGAGAGAGGGGCACTGACAAGGAAAGGCCCCTTTGAGTGTCCCTGAAATGACAGCAAAATAATAAACTAAAGTATGTCAGTCATTTTATATTTTACAACAGTTATTATCTATTGAGGGAAAATAAATCTTCAATGGGTGTTGGTCTAATTTCAAAAATAATAATAATTGTATTGCATTTGTTATATATAGTGCTTTTCAGGACACTCAAAGACAAAGCTTATTCATGGTGGTGATAAGCGACTACTGTAGCCACAGCTTCCCTGGGGCACACTGACAGAAGCGAGGCAACCAGTATGTGCTGTCGACCCTTCCCACCCCCACCAACCATTCACGCACATCAGACTCATTCCAGTCTTATTTTTCAATGTGGGTAAAGTGCCTAAGGACACATCACATCAGGGTTGGTTTGGTTTTAGTAAGTAAGAATTTTTTATTTATATAGCGCAATTTACAGACCAAAGTCACCCAAAGCGCTTTACAAAGTTCAGAGTTCTGATTTTACTTCCGGTCCTGTTCCCCTGTCTTGATTGTGTGCCCCGCCCTGATGTGTGATTGTTTTTATCTTGAGCAGTTCATTCACCTTGTGTATGAACTGTGCTATACAAAAAAAAATTGGCATTCCTTCCCATTTGTATGTGTGGTTATTCCCTTTACAAACCCACCAACCTCTTTATAAAGCGAGTAGAGAAAGACAATGGTCTGGACGGTTTTGCCAAGGCCCATCTCGTCGGCCAGGATGGTGTCAGTGCCCTGTGCCCAGGAGAACCTCAGCCAGTTCAGTCCCTCCAGCTGATAGGGGTGCAGCGTCCCCCCTGTGGCATCGATGTACCACGGCTGGTGATCGAACTTTATTGTTGGCTGAAAATGACAAAATATGAAGTCAGAGATTTCCCCCAGAGAGAGTGCCATGGCATGCTAGTGTGCCATGAGATGTTGTTTGGTGTTAAGTATGGTATGGTTTTTATTTTTACAGGGACAGTCTGCAATGAGCATTAGCCAAAAGGAGAGATGGTACCAGGTTGTAGCAGCAGTGCTAATTTACCACCAGAACTCCCAGAGCAGTCAATTCGACGGCTTTTAGTTTTGGTATTAATGTATTTTCTATTAGTTTTCATAACTTAGTGACTATTTATTAATCTATATTCATGGCAAAAAGTGATGAAAAATAAGTAAAAATTGCTCAAATTTGGCAAAATGAATCTAAATTTGAGGACATTCAGACAGTCTGGATTTGCCAATTGGAAAAGCAAAATGATCTTGTTTTTAAAAGACAAGGTACTGTATGTCTACTTTGGAATGACAAAATTCAGCAACAATTCTTGACACAAGACTAAATGTCTTTGTCCCATTGGCAAATCTTGTTTTAAGAGACCTTCAGAATGTACTCAGATTAAGATGAAAAACACTCAATTTAAGAAATGATTACCACAGATTGTATCAGTTTTTACATTGGTTAAGTTCATTTCTATGTCATTATTTGTATAAAGTGATTTTATTGTCACCATAGCAACATTCTGTTTACTTAATTAGCATTTGACAGATAAATAACACTATTTTGTCATATTTCAAGTTATATTTATCAGTTTTAGCACTTATAAAAAGTGTGTCAAGGAAACAGAGGACATCATATTCCTTTATGAATTATATAATTCATAAAATATTTTAAGGACTTTCTCAGAATTCCATTGGTTTGAACGTGAATGGTCAAAACGAACTTTTGTTGTGACTTTCATTTTTATATTTTTTCAGCTGCTGCTATACCATGTGATTTTTTTTAATGAAAAATGTGTGCCACGGACCAGAAAGGTTGGGGAACACTCCTAAGTTACACACAGAGCAAAAATGAATCGAAAGAACTTTGAGTGAATGTAACCATGCAAAAACGTACGTCTATAATTGGAGTATCAGGAGGCTTCTCTCTCTTCGAACGCTCCAAAATAAGTTTCTTCTCTTTTCTCACCACCAGAGGGCGATGGTCTTCTCCTATTATTTGTTCCCTTAGTTGTGAACAGAAAGATTTCTCATATAAAAGTTGCAAAAGTGAAGACATTTATGGTTTGAAAATGAAAAATGGTAAACCTGTGGTCCCAGAATGAAGTTTTATGGTTGTCGTATTCAGGGATTTCAAAGTCGTCCATCTCCCACGTGCACTGGTCGTAGGGGAGGTCTCGCCACTTGATTAGATAATGCACATCCCCGTCCTTATCAAAACTAAAGTAGACAACAAAACAAAAATAACTGTTACATAGGAGAATACGGTTAAATACTTACAAACTTTAACCCACAGGACGATGCTTTACAGTACATGTGCACTGATACTAGCTGTCTTGTTCTTGTTATTTTCAAAGTTGTGATTTTACTTTGTCTAGATATTTTTAGGTGATTGCTCGCTGCAAAACCAGTTTCCATTCATGAGGACAATAAAGATAACACTGCAAAATTAATGATAATATGTGCCCCAGGTCCCTCACCCCAGGTCCCTCACCCCAGGTCCCTCACCCCAGGTCCCTAACCCCAGGTCCCTCACCCCAGGTCCCTCACCCCAGGTCCCTCGCCCCAGGTCCCTCGCCCCAGGTCCCTCACCCCAGGTCCCTCACCCCAGGTCCCTCACTTTTTACATGCTGTTCATCCAGTTTATCGAGTTATCTTAGTGCCATATGAACCAACTCTGACTCTGAGGAGCACAGGGACTGGCACAGAACATGGGGAAGCAGCATTTCAGATGTATGCAATGTTTAATTCCAGATTAAAAACAGTTCTGTTAAGCTGTGAATACAACTGAAGGATTTTATTTTTGCTCATTATAATGTTCAGTGATTATCAATGGTTTCAATGCGTTGCATGACTGTCTCTGTCTTTTTTTGTTAAACACTTTGTCTTATATACAAACTGTGCTGTACAAATAAAATTGCCTTGCCTTTTATGTTCGTTCCACTAGATACTGTAGAGACTAATCATTTAACAAAATTCTTTACAGCCGCAACCGCCCCACTGTGGCACCTGGTGTTCCAAGAGGTCTCCCCTCACAGTACTAACCAGGCCCTAGCCTGCTTAGCTCCAGAGGTCTGTAGATATCTGGCTTTCACCTGAAGGTGTAGCCACTAAAATAAAACATGGATCAAACACATTTTACCAGGAAATGTATTTTATTGCTAAGTGGGTTTTTCATGGTTTGAAAGTTAGGTACACCAGCTTTAAATTGAGAATTGCATTAAATCGTGCACTACTATGCCTTACTCTATTGTCTACCTCTTATTTTGACTGTTTGGACCAAGAGCCAATGCAATTTCCCAGTCTGTGACTACCTGTTACGCACTTGGCAATACAAATGATTCTGATTCTGAAAAGGTGATGAAAAATATGTCAAAAATTGATTACATTTGGAAGCTTACGCTTACCTTATTTTATCTACATGTTGACAGTCTTAAAACAAGATTTTCCGTTGGGACAGGTAAAATAATCTTGTTTTAAAAAGATACCAGAAATGTCTCCCATGGAATGAGAAAATAAAGCAACAGTTCTTGAAATAAGAATAAGTGACTTGTCTCATTGGCAAAATCTTGTTTTAACACAAATTAAGATAAAAACCTCTTGATTCCAGCACTCACCACCTCACATTTTATATGTTTTCACAATGTAGTAAACTTGACTGTTGGATAAGACAAAGTACATCAGAGGACAGTATGAATGTCCTGAATGGGGTTATGTGGTTTCTCTTGCACCTGTGGTTGATGATGCGGTGAATGACCATCCACTCCGGTTTGATGCCGTATCGGTAGAAGCGCTCCTCCATCGCGGCGAACTCGGGGTCCTTGCTCTTTCTCTTCTCGCTGCTCAGCTCCTCTTCCCCAGAGCCGTAGTCATACGGAGGCGGTTCGTCCATGTCGTTCTTCCTCTGGTAGTTTCTGTACATGACCGTGTGGTATAGCTCCAACTGCAAACACCAAAACAACAAGTCAGCTCGAGGCCTGACTAGAACCAGGAAGTACGGTCACATTAGTCCAGTTCTCAGGTCTCTGCATTGGCTTCTTGTGGCTCAGAAAAGAAACTTTAAAGCAGCTCTGCTTGTGTATAAGTCTCCCTTTGGCTTCGCTCCAAAGAACATCTGTGACACGTTAGTGCCATATGAACCAACTGACTCTGAGGAGCACAGGGACTGGCCTCCTACTGGTGCCCAGAGTCAGGACTACACAGATTTATGTAGCTAAAATCTGGAACAGACTTCTAGAAAATATGAGACAGTTGTCTACTCCCATATATTCAAAATGTATCATGATTATTTCTTCAACACTCTCCTCAATATCATTCCTAAGAAGAGAATAAGGCTCACCTGCAGCTCGCTGACCCAGGAACAGTGCCAGTACGAGAGGCCGGCCCACTTCACAAAGAACTCTCTCTCCGGATGGCCCTTCAGCGGGGGGTTAATCAGAGGATCAATGGGCCTCCCATCAGCTTCGAGAGGCGGCTCTGCGGGAAGAGGAGGCTCTCCCCAGGTCCAGTGTAAAATCCTCTGCACCTTTCCCTTCAGAGGCGGACACTAAACATACACACAGGTGTCAGCTTAACATCAAAGGTGTTTCTAAAACTACTGTAGTGTCACGACAGGAGTGACATGTGACCTGAGGCCTGAGGTAACATGTGCAGTGGTGTCAACTTAACAAATCCGGATCATGTGTGAAGTCTTGACTGTCACTGACACAATCACAATAAAGACATTTAAATAGATTCAGCAATATAAATAGAAATGTTTGGACACTCAGACTCTTCACCTGTCATAATTCTTTCACTCCATTCAAAATGGTGATGAACTACTACTGTAGCCACAGCTGCCCTGGGGCCCACTGACAGAAGTGAGGCAACAAGTGTGTGACATCGACTGCTCCAACCACCACCAACCATTCACACGCACACCAGACTCATTCTGATGTGGGTGAAGTGTCTTCCCCAAGGACACAACGACAGTTTGGAACTTTACAGCCGCAGCTGCCCCACTGTGGCCCCTGGTGTTCCCAAAGATCTCTCATCACGATACCAACCAAACTCTGGCCTGCTCAGCTTCAGATGTCTGACAGAATCTGGCTTTCACTTGCAGCTATGGCCACTATGGAGTCGATGCGTTTCAGCCCTATAGTAAAGGAGAGTGTAAAGTTGAGGTTACCATGCATCGCGGGCACAGCCACTCCCCGTTGGGGATCTCGGGCAGAGGGGGGTTGAGGCAGTGGATGTGGTACGACGAAGGACAGGTGTCACAGCACAGAAGCTCTCCTCCATCTTTACACACTCTGCAGAACTCCATGTGGTCATCCTCTTCCTCTCCTGCAACCTCCTCCTCATCTTCATCATCATCTTTGGCTTCCCACTGGATCCCTTCTTTCTCCTGAAACACACACACACACACACGATGAAAATAATGAATGAGTTTGAGAAAGAAGATCAAATTATCAGCCTACAATGAGCCGACAAATGCAATGCACTGCAAAAATGTATGAAAAATATGTCAGAAATCGCTCAAACTTGGAAAAACATGTCTATGTTATCTTATTTTAAAAAGATACAAGAAACATCCTTGGAGTGAGAAAAGCAACAGTTTTTGAAGTAAGATTAAATGGCTTTGTCCCTTTGGCAAATCTTGTTTTAAGGCAGTCAGAATGTCAGTAAGACTAAAACTACACGATTCAAGCTAATATTACATCATATTTCATCACTTTTTGCAGGGTATTTACTAATCTCCAAACATTGAAAGTCTATGATTCAGTCGACCTATACGAATTGATATAAATGTTTAAGATAGAAAAAGTGACTTCCATCAAAACCATTACAGAAATTGTAGAACTACTGTTTATCTGTTAGAGGGGTCGATCTCTGGAATGAATGCATGGATTTACTTCAATCATGTATTTCACTTTTCCACTGAAAAAAGCAATGAATGAATCCTATGAATACATTCACTCATACAAATAACACTTGTAAAAAGGGTAGGCAGAATAAGTATTAGCTTCAGCCTGCACCTTTCGGGCCTTTCTTTCTGCTGGAAAATAACTGCTCTGTTACAATGTTCCCAAAATAAACGTCATAGATTCATCCGTGTGTGTTTGGAAAGCAAAGCCCATATTCTGATTCTTACTGTGTCAAAATGTTTTGCCTGAACTGTTATTTCTGGCAGACTTTGAACACTTGACTCAGAGTCCTAGAAGAATGTCAGCTGTACTATTATGTGTCATGGCGGATTTCTATGATAACAGTACTCACACAGTGGGGACAGCTCCACTTGCCCTCGGGGGCCTTATCCAGCTCTGGATCCAGGCAGACGAGATGGTACGCTCTGGGGCATGTGTCACACAGGATGATCTCACCGCCTTGTTGGCAAACTTCACAGTAGTCCTGATGGTCTGTCTCGTAGCCATCCCCGTCCGCTTCTGGGTAGAGTAAAGATGCATGTTTCTCTACGTGAGAGTCTTTAAATAGTGCAAACATACTTTTTCTCTTTTTCCTCCCACGTCGAGACTTTTTCTTGTTGGTTGTGGCACCTGTTATATCAGCGATTAGTGAGGTGCTGTGGATGCTGATGTCATCAAAGTCAGACTCCTCCAAGAAGTCTTCCTCACTCTGTAAACACATGCAGATATGAGATACACACATGGTCTCCATGTCTCGCAGACCATAGTGCAGACTAGTGCAGACTAGTGCAGACTAGTGTAGACCATAGTGCAGACTAGTGCAGACTAGTGCAGACCATAGTGGAGACTAGTGCAGACTAGTGCAGACTAGTGCATAATTGAGTCTTATTTGAGAGAGAGGACATACTGAGGAGGCTTTCTTTTTCTTCCCACTTTGGCCAGACTTTGATTTAGTCTTTTTTGCCTTTTTCTTCTTCAAATCTTTTGCCGATTTACTTTTCTTCCTGGCTCCAGGTCCTAAAAAATCCAAGCCACACAACTTTTATAGTATTTCCTGTGCAAGGTAGAACTACAACAATCACCGTGGTAACCCCCCAGCTCTGCCAAGTAGACATTACAGGAGCACATTACCACAGTTAAGTCAACCTTACCCTTCCCCTCTTTGGTTTTGGCTTTTTTGAGTGGTCCCGGCTGAGCACTGGGCTGGCTGCAGCTCATAGATATTGGCTGAGCCACAGTGACTGTCTCCACAGCGGCGGCCACAGCGGCTGCCACAGCGGTGGCAGATGCTCCTTTGAACGGGTTGTTGGCACTGAACTCTCTCCACTTGGCCCCTAACACTGTCATCATCTTTGACATGGGAATCTTGGGGTTCTTCTTGGCAATGAGCGGCCTGTGGGAAGCCACAAAGAGAGGTTAACAACGACAGCTTTATTGTGTCACACTTCATTCTCCTTGATGTAGCTCAGCCTCACTCAGCACCAAGGGGATCCAAGTGTGATTTGTTATTAGCCCTGTCCCCTTAAGTTTGGTTCTCCCAGCTTTCCCCGTGCCCGTGAGCTGCTTGTGATTTGTTATACAGTTTCAGACATGGCTCTATGGCCTGTGAAAGAGAGTAGGTCAGACAGAGTCCCAGAGCCACCCAGCTGTCACAGGCATCCAGTCAGCAGCTGACTCTACACGACTCTGCGGGAGCTAACGGAGCCAGACAGCCCCAGGTGAGACACTCTTTAAACAAGCGCTCAGACACCGAGTGCTGTGTTTGCTGCTCACACCACTCTCTTTCTCACTGTAGTGTTTCTGTGGAGGCTGCTCACTGACAGGCCACGGCACAGAACCGTTTAGCATGACATAATAATTCCCACAGTGAGACACTCGCCTGAGGAACTGGCTGAACGCCTTGTAGTTAGTTATGGTTTTGTAGTCGTCTTCAGTGAAGCCGTACTGGACGTCTTCAAGACCCCACTCCTGCATCAGCTGACCGGAGGATTTTGGCTCCTGAGAAAATGGAAGCAATTAAATAATAGAATAAACAATAAAAATTACTTCCCCAATAATATGCAACATGGCAAGTTCATTCACCTTCGCCGTTCCATCATCATCGTCGTCTTCATCCTCCTCATCCTCTCTTTTCTTCTTTCGGGGCTTCTTCTCCTTCTTTTCTTTAGGTTTTTTCTTCTTCTTTTTGCCCTCATAAATGCTGTTCTCACTCTCATAGCCCACTTCAGGAAGTCCCCTGTCCTCCTCCACCTCTGAGTGCTCCTCTAAGTCACTGTCCAGTCTTGGTATTAAGTCTGTCTGAAAGAAATTAATTATAATTAGTGCTATTCAACATTTTAAGTCAGAAACGTACATATTCCATTCATTTTACTCAGAGCAAAATTAATGGAATGCAGAAAGAAAATTTCCCAACACATTATCATTATTAGTATCATTATTATTATCATTTTTATTATATTATCATCATCATATTTTATTTTATTTTTGTATTCTTCTCTAGTATTTTTGTATTGTCTTCATGTCTTTGTGTTATGTTTGTTCTGTTTGAGGTTGTACTTTTGTTTTGTTTGTATTCTTGTTGAATGTTGATATGTTTGTTGCATTAAAGTGTGGGTTTAAAGGAAACCGAAGGATTTAACAAACAAAAAAAGTTCAGGATGACAAGGGACACTAAAATCCCCACAAAGTGCAACCTTTATGTAATCTGTAAATTCTCTGTCAGCTGAGGTCCAGCTGTTTTAGTTTACATTGAGTTCTATGAGACTTTTTTTCTGCGATTTTAGTCTGCATTACCACGGGCCTGATGGGACAGCTATAAGCTAGTAATTATCTATCCAAATATTATTATAGATCCATGATAAAGATGAAAAAAGGCGGCGTGGAGGCATCCATCATGGGACTAGCGTAAATGCACTGATGTACTTTGTTAATGAAAAAAGCCTTGGCTGGATAGTAAGAATCTACCTTTTTTGCCATAATTAATTATTCACTATTAATTATTAACTTATAATTTTTGATTATATGTTTACATCAGCAGCAAAATGCATTCATTTTAAACTTCTAGTCTAGTCTTATATTATTTTAAGGACAATAAAAATAAAGACAGACAAACAACAGAAGCATAACAAAAACACACACACACAACACACAAAGCAAGGACAGACAAGGGACAAACAAACATAAAGAAAAGAAGAAAAAAACAGTCTTTGTTTACAACTACTTTCTCTGTGATTTCTCAGATTAATCCACATGAAATAAATACTCTCACAAAGTTCCACACTTTCCTTGTCAGTTCCGATCAACTATGGTTGATCAGAATACGACAGAAGACATTATGTGTATATAAATATATATTGTGTGGCTGGTTTGTGAATCTCATCACTAATAAATAATAATCTTTCAACATTTCCCATAATATTATTAAAAATAATCCCAAGAATTCTATAAAATGAGTTCCTGAATCCAGGGAACTCTCTGAGCCGTGACCAGGATTCCTTAGTTTCTTACTCACTGTAACAATCTTTTATGTAGTATTTATGTTATTGATTGATTAAGATCAAGAGAGATTATTTGTCCAACAGTGGGGAAATTTCAGTGTTGCATCACCAGTTACAGAACATTAGGAATGAGGAACACACAACACAAGATACATTACCAATAACACTATACTAAAATAAAATAAAACTTTAGCAAAAAGAAGAAGCACAAAGAAGTAGGTATAAAATCTTCCATTTATACTTCTATAGCCCTACATCACAATACAAGAATCAATCTGACTTTAGCAAAATAAGGATCAAAGTATCAAATGTACTGTATATTCTAGTGCCAGAAATACATAGTTGTTGTATGTACACATCTGTACATGTTAGCAGCATGAGGATATGGGACAAAGTGGCTCAGTGAAGTGACAGTGGACACATGTGGTTTCATATTGCACATTTTGACATTAATCAAAGTTGTTACACATCAAATGTCTGTAAACACAAAGGTGTCTAAAGGGTTAACCTGCATATACATATTTATATACAAACAGTGGCATTTGTCCTGATGTATAGTATGTCATTATAGCTTGAAGGCCCTGTATGCCTGTTGCTTGTGTGAATCTGGGAGTGAGTGGAGAGAGAGCAGATCGAGAGAAAAGCTCACGTTGCTGCAGCACAAACCTCAGCAGCAGCCAGCATGAGTTACCATGGTGACGGTATTTGAGCAGTGTCTGGCTCTCTCTCTCCTCTCTCTCTCTCTCTCTCCTCTCTCTCTTTATTTCTACTTTTTCTTTCTTGTTCCTCACCCAGCACCCCTCTCCCTCCCACCCCTTTGCAACTTCCATTTCTATCACTTCTCAAAAATCGCTCACTCTTATGTTATTCACTTTCACTCTATTAACAAGGTCAGCTTTCTTTCCTGTGCTAGTTTCCTCTATTAACTGAGCTGGGTTTTTTTTTTTTTCATCTTCTTTTCAGCTGCACAGTGTATAGCAGCAGCGGCGGCCAATGGAACAGCGCCATCCAATCAGAAGCCTTTACATAACGAGCTGGTTATGCAGAATAGGCCTATGGTTGCCCAAGCAAGCGCACCCGTCTAGACAAATCTCATTTATGCATAAGGATGGCAACAGAGAGAGAAAGAGAGAGCGAGAGAGAGAGGGAGAGAGAGAGAGAGAGACAGAGACAGAGAGAGAGGGAGAAAGTGACTGTATGAAAGATTTGAAGATTGCAATGGGGGATGGGTATTTGAAATGGTGGAAAGCAATAAGCGTAAAACAAACACTATGCACCTAAATGCAACTTAGCAGAGAGAGCAGAGGCCACACTGCAAAATATGATCAAATATGAACTAATTTTTGCTTGAATCGAGTGGTTTATAATCTTAATTTGAGTATGTTCAGACTTAAGACAAGATTTGCCAATGGGACAAAATCATTTAGTCTCACTTAAAGAACTTCTGCTTTATTTTCTCATTCCAAGGAAGACAATTCTAGTATCGTTTTAATACAAGATCATTCTGCTTGTCCCATTGACAAATCTTGTTTTAAGGCAGGCTTCTTTATTACTCTAAAGTCAGACATTTTATACTTGATTCTTGCTTCTTCATTATGCTAAAGTTGGAGATTTTGTACTTATTTTGTCATAGTTTTTTTTTTTTTTTTTTGCAGTGCAGGTCCAAGAGTAACCACACAGCGTCTAAAAATACACTTCACACTTCAAAGGCAGGAAAAAAATTAGATAAGTGATGATGAACGTAATCAAATGATGCTTTCCCTAATAATGGTTCTGCCTTGGGGAAATTATGGAGCCACTGAAAATATCAAATGAGCTTTGAAATGTGCAAAATGTCCCAAAACAACAGCCTTGGCAGTGTGTGTGTCTCTCTCTCTGTCGACACATGAACCACACACAAACACGAAATTGGATGCGCCATCAATAAAGCTGGATTAAAAAGACAAAGACATGAAAAGCTCTAAAATTGTTAATGTTTGGTGCTGGATGAGCATCGGCAATAGCATATCAATAATACATCACAGAGATCCCACAGTGATTTGATGCAAGATTGAAGCAAAAATTCTAATGGAAGAATAAGCTGCTCTTGAACTAATGCGTTTCATACACAGATTTACCTGCTGTGGGACTTGTTTTCTATTTTTTATAGTTTATTACCTGATACAGTGAAGAGAAGATAGTTAATGTAGCAGTATGTTATATTTGCATGTCATGTCATCATTAAATGGCCCCATATTTTAAAAGGCGTTATTAAATCATGCTCTTTTCCTATACATCTTTAACTGATAACAGTAGTTCAGCCGAGATATTTGAATATCAAAAATAGTTTTACGACCCGTAAAAGTTGTTATTGTTTTGATTTTGATGTCCTACCCTTCGGCGTTTCGCCAATCGGGAAGTGTCATAAGTCCGTGATCGGGTTGCCAGAACTCTGCGTGGCTCACTAATCTCAGTGGTAAAATAACATGTGGCCGCAGAACTAAAAAAGGTCTTGTTATGACTCTCAAATCATTAATGACCAAACAAAGACTAAAACTAGGATTTATATCTGGACACCTTTGAACAATTGAGACAGCTGATAAGTTTGCGTGTGATGCAAAATTTGGTGCTTTGAATCAGTTCTTCAGAGAGGATATTATAGTGGGAATCGGTGGTCTAATGGTTAAAACCATGCGCTCACGAATGCAGTAACCCAGGTTCAATGCCGGGTCGAGTCTTTTTGTTTATGTTATCACATTCTATGACAGATTGCTCTAAAAAAGGTAAAAGACAAAGGTCAAGACGTTTTTTTGCAGATTATAGCTTAATCTATGATTAAAAATAACCATTTAAGACCACATGTACCCCAATTAAAATAATGTTAGTCTCTTTTTGATGTGGGACTTTTACATGTTTGTCTAAAAAATAGGGAATAAATTAAATTGAAAGGTGATATCCTCTGGAGCAAACCCTGATGTTGATACGCTGAAGAAATACGTTCAAACATCCATTCTTCCCACTCCTATTTTGGACATTAATTGCTTATTTATTTTGGATAATCTATAATTACATTGCTTTTATTTTTTGTGTGTTTTTTATCTCAAATGTCCAAAAATAAAATAAAAAATAAACATTCATTCAACATTAGCACGGCTCATAGAAATGTGAACGAAGACAGACAAACAACCGATAAAATAATTCCCTGTGTTTGCTGCTGGATTTGGTGTGAATCTGGCAACCTGAGTCAGGGAGAGTGGGAAAGGACTACAAAATATTGACTGTGACTGCAGTACCACTTTTGGCCAGAATTTTACATATTTATTTAATGCTCGTAAAGTCCATTTCTCTATTTTTTCATTTCTAGGCATTTTTTGGAAAATGGTGGCGATGCACTTTGATGGAAAAAGTGCCTAAAACTCAGTGATAGAGATGCCCCAATGAGGTTCAGTTCCAAGCTTCAAGTAGATATAGTAACTCAAAAAGTTGTCCACCAAATGGTTGGGGAAACCATTAAAGGGTTAAATCAGGAAGGACGTTTAAAAAAAAAATCAGTACCAAATTGTAGTTAGAAATGTGAACAATATGGTGTGGTGGCGCTTTGACGTTGGAAATGACCATAGACTATTAGTCTTAACGAGACCTATTTTCTCCATTGAAACATATCTGTGATCAAAATTGATCTTTTCAAAAAAGTCGCGAGTAGCCCCTCCCACACGAAATTGTGAAAAAACCATAGACTGTATATATTAACGGACAGAGTCACGCCTATCTCCGCCGTTCATAGGAGTTGGCCATAAAAAGTGCTTTCATGGAGCAATCCAA